TAATTCTTTCATTCCTCATCTCAGGCACCACTTCCTATTTTTCCCCCTCTCGGGGGCCTTGTGCCTAGTTACTCCATGGAGCGTCCACCGAAGCGATCTAAGAGCTCGGTGGCCTCCCAATCTGGCAATAATAACGAAGTAACGGCTTGTTACGAGGCTCCTGAGGGAACCACAAGCTTAGTTACTCATAAACGAGATTTAGGCTAAGCGCCATCTGCGATCAGCCACCTCAAGCTCGGTGAATCTGTAAATGCCTCTTCAAGACAAACAGTGGCCATTCACAAAAAAACCCTTTTTTTGGTCATGTCATCTTTAACGTAATCCATCCATCACTTTCTACGTCTACCGCTACCAGAGTCCCTCCACAATCATTAAAAAAGTTCTCCTTGTTACATGTGAGTCATTCTCTATTAGTTCTCCTGATAACATGCCCATACCATGCTAACCTTTTACTCCATAACTTTACTCTCAAGTAAATTTACTATTACATAAAATTGGCTATAAATATTCTTTCAAAACAGTTATGTTTTAATTGCGCGTCTGTTCTGATGTAATCTATTGATCTTTTTCTATCGTCGATAGTTTCACAACCGTCATCCATGCAGAACAGATGGCACTCAGCTATTGTCTGTGTAATTGTAGTAATTATATTTTAGATTGATGAAAAATCTGACAGCTTCTAATAAAGAAATATTTGATTGTGTTGTAATCTATTCGATAGTAGTGTTATTTAGCATTATATGATTGAGAAAGAGAAGTTAAAAACTTTTCATAAGGTGCTCTTTACTTTGACAAGTTAGTGTCAGTTGTATCTTTTTATTTATTAGTTACTAGCGTTCGCCCGCGACTCCGTCCGCTTGAAATTAAAAAAATAACAAAAGTGAGTAGCCTATGTGTTCTTCCAGACTATTATCTACATCTGTACCAAATTTCATCAAAATCTGTTCAACCGTTTAGTCTACAAACTTTAACATTCATTTAAACTTTCGCATTTATAATATTAGCGTGTCTTAAGTGTAGGGTTTTTTATTAAAAAATATTCAAAAATATGGTGTAATTGCTGACATCTTAGGCAACAAAGAAATGTGTGTTTACGCTTTACTATAATAGAATAGATACATTGAGTTCATACTAGAGGATATTATTTTCTTGTCCAGAATATTAGGTACGTAGGACAGTAGAAACTCACGTTTTAAGCGAATGCTGAAAACTACCTTAAAATAGTAATTACATGGTTCGCTTTGATGATGAGATGATGAACAAAAATAAGTTGACATATCTACGTGATTTTATTACGTAAAGCTCGTGTATTCCTAGTGAAAGTATCAAGATTGTTAAACGCAATAAAAACGTATACAATTAACCAAACAAGTGCGTATCAGATAAATCAGAGGGTGTTCGTAACCATAACAAAACTTATGAGGTTTCCTGTTCACATAAGGAAATTATACTCACGTTACGAAATAACTAAAGATATCAACTTTAATGTGATGATGTATCAACTTACGTATAATTCTTTAATCAAATACATACCTTCGTACTAAGTCTTTAAAGTTTAAAGTTGCTTGCCACATTTTAATATAATATCTCTAGTATAAACGTGTAGGAAACATGTCTATAAGGTTGAAAATCTTTTGATAATTGGCATGTAAACTAGGTAAGTTTATATTAAATCGGTAATGCGGTAATAAAGCGAAAGTGGTTTTTATTGCGTGCAGTAAAAGTATTACGACTGGAATGATAGCTATGGAAAATAAAATTTTCTAACTAAACTGTAATTTATACTGCGGTGTATCAAGACTTAATGACCCATAACGTCATACAAATAAAAATATGATGTAAGAAAATCTTGATTTCCTTACTATAGGGGAATTTGAATAATTTAAATTCTTGATATTTTGGATAAATAATTGATCAATACATAATTTATTACAAGTACACAGAAACGCATAGTTTCAGTCTAAATGGTCTTTATGTTCGTGTGAACAATAACATAAGCATTAGCAGATTTCAAAAGACATCAGACCCTTAACGGGAAGGACGCGTGATACGTTCGTAAGTGTTATGTTTGACATAATTAATTGACGACGTCAAAGAATAAAAGGTTTACAGATGATGGAAAATGTCTATGGTCTTTGTTTCGCAATACCTGAGTACTTAAGTAACGTTTTAAAATTACTTTGAATATTATCTTACACTTTGATTGCTTAATGACAGCTTGCTATATGATAAATCGCCCATTAGTCTTTTAAAAGAGTACAAATGTATTTTGCGTTCAAAAACGTGGATTTGTAGATCGTACGAACTCATTTTGTCCACTCTTTTATCAACTCTATGCTACATTTACGAACATAACAAAAAAGGAGCGTGTGTTTATTAATGTTTTTGACATAACCTATAAAAATTTTATCATTCGAATGCCATTAACACTAGATTTCGCCCGCGACTCCGTCCGCGTGGAATTAAAAAAAAAACAAAAGCGAGTAGTTCCAGACCATCGTCGACAACTATGCCAAATTTCATAATTACCCGTTCAGAAATTAAGGCTACAAACTCTAACAAACATCCGTCTAAACCTTCGCATTTATTAGTACGATCTTCATGGGCGTTGTCCTAAAAACTCGCTTTCTTTAATGAAAAATGCTCAATAAATCAAAATATGTAATTTATTTTTATAACCTTTCCAAGTAGTTGCGGATTTAATATCATTTATCTTTCGAATCGATAAATAACGGAAGTTTTTAACTGTTATTCATGATTTATGTTTAACGCAACAGTGACCAATTGTACTCCAGTTAAGATGTTGAGAATCGATTTAAAAATTCATGGCCTGAATTAAATGACACTTTCAAAATGCTATGTGCAATTAAAGAAAATCTTTTTAAAATAGTGACATTTTCTAGAGATCTTAAAACTCTTACCCCGTACTTACACTTTAGTATATTCTTAAGTGGCTTTAGTTAATTTCTCACAGATATTATTTTTCAAGGGAAAGTAAGAACACTTCTTTATGAAAAACTTACACGGAATACACTGAAAATGCTCAGTAAGTCGAACAATAACGGAAATAGTCTTAGCATTTAGCTTCGCGTGTAACTTCATAAAAACTCAGCAAACAAAACAAAAGTAAAACATTTTTGGTATCCTCGTAAATTATTTCAATCTACAAAAAATCCTCGAAATGTTTATAATTGAGCAAAACATTAGGTAAATATTACGAAGTTGTTACTTCACGGAAACGGTCGCGATTACGGAAATATATTCTGACATGCGATGATACGGACAACGGAAATGAAGCAAATTATCGAATTGCTTAGCGTAACGGACAAAGAACTGCTAAAAATAACTAATAGAACTTCTAAAGAAGTAACAAGTATAGATTTATAATTAAGAAGATTTCGTCCGTGATTTTGACAGCGTGGAATTAAAAAAAAAAACAAAAGTAAATAGTCTGTGTGTTCTTGCAGACTATCCTCTACATCTTACCCAATTTCCTTGAGATCTGTTTACTTGTTTAGGCTACAAACTCTACAAAACATCAATACATTTAAACATTCGCATTTATATTAGTTGTATGACGGATGTCCATGGGCGTAGTTGACCACCTTAGTGTTCTCGCCTCTCGTTTGCCCTCATTTTATTATAAAAAAAGTTAAACCAATCTAGCAGGAACTGTCTTTTAACAACGACAGCAAAAGTTGTGCTCTTGGTCAAATCTGGTCAAAAGTTATTTGTAGGTAGACCTAAGTATTAACTGTATCTTAAACCTTACTTGTTAAAATCTTTAATATCTCAGTCTTTTATTACTTTTTTATTGTGGCAGTAGGTCAACAATTAAATTCGCTTCACTAAGCTTAACGGTTAATTTAACATGAAATATGGCTTCGTATAAGTTGAAAAAGATTTGCATATAGAACATATATTGGATTACAGTGAAAGTGGACCCTAAGAGTAAAAAAGGAATCAATCCAGATATGACAGCTGATATAAATGTATGGAAGAGTAGTAGAGTATGTAATATACCAATACTGAGTACGAAAGGATAATGATAAACGTGTGTTTGGTCATAGAACATTATTGTAATACTAAGTTTCTGTGTGAAAGCGAATAAAATACTTTTCAATAAGATCTAATATTTCATAGCAACAAAGAAATACCAGTAGAGCAAGCTACGTAAACAGACAGTACAACAGTTGGTAACGGGCCATAACGGTCCGAGTGACAGCCGCGACGCATACCTCATGCATTGCACGATCAATTATGCTGCGTAGATTGCAACGTATTATGTTAGACAAAGAGAATAAATTAAATGTTTAATGGTATACTACTGTATGTTATAGCAAAATTATATTCTTTGGATTTGATAACTTGAACTAAAATAGAATTGATCATAATTTCAAAATATGCAGTTACTTTAATTTTTAAAACTTCTTTGCATGTTCTCTTTCCTATCCGTCTGTCAATTTCTACCAATATCACGTCATATAACGAGATAAACCTTGATTTCGATTCTCGTGCAACTTATCGAATTGAAATCATTGACAAGATGTCATTTTTAAATTAATTTTATATAATTAAAATTATAAGTACTGCGCCACGAGTTATATCACTAGTGTTAACTAGATTCGCACCTAAGTTAGCCGTACGTGTGTAAGGAAACGCAGTCGCGTGCGCGTTCTTCCTGTACTGCTATTAGCATGCCACGCGGCGTCGCTCGCTTACGTAACTGTTACGTGCTACAGCGCCCCTACGCGGCTGTTTGTTGCGCTTTCCTATTTTGCTTTGTGTTGCTTAGGCTCTAGGAATGTTCATAATTCTTTGTAATGATTGTTCTCGTCAAGACAAGGCTGAAGTACTGAACCGGGAGTTTTCAATGAAATGGAATTAAATTAGGTAATTTTAATTAGTCGGTGGTCTTCATTGACTAAATTCATATTTAAATTTTCACTTTACTAAAATACGTTTGCATACCTATGATTGGATTGAATAAAAGCTTTTGTAACACTTACATTTTTATTTTTCCTACAGCAATGCAATTTACTGTTGCTATTTTAAATAATGTAACACTAGTATTCCTTATTTGTTTCGACATCAACAGGACTATCAACAAAAGGCCAAACTATTGCAAAGTACCATCTCCTTCCAAACACACTAATCAAATTGTCTCTCCAATTATTCTTAGCAGGATCTCTATGCTCGTGGGCGGTGACTCCTCGTATCGTATTCCTCATATGAAATCGAAATAAGACAGCTGACCAGGCAATAAGACCAACATTGAATAGAAATAACAACACATACAAATCCTTGGTAGCCATTGGTTCAGGAATAAAGAATCTTAAGACAGGATTCAAGATACGTAACACTGCAAGAAAGAATCCGTGGTCTTTAAACTTCGATGAAACAAAGTAATAATTATAGTATGAGGAATAGATCATTGTAATATGCATATATGCGAGATATAAAAGATAGTATCGCCTGTTGTACAATCCGATACATCTAGAGAAGAAGAAGCAATGGTGATCCCTTCTTAAAATGCAGACGTTACACCTTCTACAGTGCCAGGCTTTAGGCGGTCGATATGTCTCACACAATTTGCAGTAATCACCACCTTCCGTGGGTTTAAGTCTCTTGTTTTTCAAATTCCCATCATTGTAAATGCTCATCATCATATTTCCAGTAACGTTAATGAAACAGAACATGCAAAGGAAAATGTGAAGGCATTGTTTGGCGATACCGGGTTTGTAGATTTCAATCAACGCAGGTCTCACCACAGACATCTCGAATATCAGGAATCCAGGAGTTGAAAATAACACCATCACATGACAGTGCACTTTTTCGAAAATATAAAATAGTTTATAAAGAAATTGATGGCGTGTCATAATATTTTGCTATCACAAATCACAATGACAGTTGCATTGACGGATGACTGACAATTTAGAAAAAAACATAACTTAAAATAAGTTTTTAAATGTAAGCATTGAAACCATAAAGTTTTTTTAATGATATAAACAGAAAAGAAGTACAAATTTGACCGCAAAACTTTGAAAATTGAACAACCAAATTATGGATAGACCTCATAAAAATGAGATGTTTTTACTTTAACATGCAAACAATTTATTGTCTGCAAATGACCAATATAAAGCATTTCACAATTGTTTATGTCTCGGTATTGAGCGTAATGCTTCCTTTCACTGACACTTCGATGTACAAATGTGTAAGATGTACCGCAACTGCCACTCAGTGCAATAGGCGATAAAAATTTATTCGCCCCGTTTATGTCAATAGGCAGGTGTTACGCGCGATCTTTCTCACGATGTTGACATTTTGGAGGAATCCGCTTGTGGTCTGATCGACGATAAATCTGACAACGCGGACATGATTGATGTTGAGTTTAAAATAATTATATCCCATGTAAATTTTAACAAAGGACATTTTGTATTTAGAGAAATATTAGGCATAGAAAACAGAAATTTTCTGAAGAAGGAAGAGGATTGTTAAAAACAGAAGAATAATTCTTAAGATGCGCTGATTAACGTGGCACCCTAAGAAGAAACATTAACTAATCAGCAATTTCTTGCAAATATGCCAAGCTAAATTTTAAATGTTATGACTAGTAAAGTAAATAGGATAAATTAATGTTTGTTAGAGTTCACCTCAATAAAATTTTGCATAGATGTAGTGCTTAGTCAGGAAGAACACATTGGCTACTTACTTTTGTTTTTCATTTCGCGCGAGTCACGAGCGAGAGCTAGTATTATCATGAATGAAACGTCTGCTTGTAGTTGTCCTGTGCTTACGATGACTAATATCTACTTTGGGCGGAAGTATAAATGGGTTCATTGCTATATAGGTTACTAGTTTAATTATTACATCCTTTGATATAAATGTTAAAGTATCACACTAATTATTTTTTATTAAACTATAAGTCAATAAATATATCGCTCTAATCAGATCTTCGCTGACATTTAAAATTGCCATCTTAATTATGATAAAAATCTCTGTAAGTGCGTAAATATTTTTTACGTGATTGAGTTCGGCTTAAAATTTGGTAAATTAATGTTCTGTTAAAAATTGAATGACCAATTTATGTTTCCTTTGCAAATAGTTGCTCATTTTTGCAATGTTTATGTTCTACTAGTTTTTGCCTGCGACTCCTTTCGCGTGGAAAAAACAACTAGTTGTTTTTCGATTAAATTTATTAAATTGTTTTTTTAGACTTTTGTCATTTGTGGCAAACTTCGTTTAGGCTACAAACATCCATCCGTCCAACAAACTTTCGCATTTACAATTATAGTAAGACAAAATTAGATGTTACTAGTGTGTTACAATTTAACACTTGAACTCTTGGCATTATGGGACTGATATGTTTTAAGGAACCAAAGTCCCTATTAAAACTAAAGAGAAAAAAACAAAAGTACTCGGAATAGATCTGGATTTTGTAGACAGGTCACGAGATAGATAAGTTTGAGACTATAATAGGATGGGAAGGTAAATTGGATTTGACGGTGGAGGAGACGCATAGAAAAGGGAAGTTCCTCCGTTATGTGCGTCTCCTCCTCCGTCAATTAAGGGTAGGCAACGCATCTGCAATTGCGGATGTCTATGGGCAGCGGTCGCTTTCCAATACGGTGGATTCAGGTGGCCGCTTGCTCGTTTGCCACCTTATATTATTATAAAAAAAAAAGTTATATTACAGGCCTTCCTTAGTAATAATAGTCCATTTTATGGTAGTCGCGTTTACAGATACAACTCAATTGGTCGTGGAAGGCAATAAACTATGATGAAGTGTAGCAACACAATAGATCTCCGACGTCGCAATGCAAATTACTCAGGTAATGTCCATCTAAATGGTATTAAAATGCACTAATATTTCAAAATTATTGTCATTTTGAGACCATCAGAGAAGTGGAAAAATTGAGCTACATGTTAATTGGTTATTATTCCATGCAATTTGCAAAGGTAGTGTTTTATATGAAGCTTTTCGGCGTAGATAATATGCTGGGGGAAAACATACTGACGTGTTGGCGAAGATGGTTGGTAAAGTGACGGTGGCAAATTTTAAGAAAAATTTCAACAGCCGAAGGAGGTATTTATGTAAGTTCCGAGATGAAATAACGATTTTATAAATTGACCTATAATTCAAGGAGTTTTTTGTACCTTCCGCGTACATTAATTGTACTGAAAGAATTTAATCTTGTTAAAGTTTATTAGTGAGTGTTTATTGTACCCTTGTGGCTGTTGCAGTCATCGATTGGAATGCTGTACGTTTGCAATTTGCCTAGGGAAATTGTAAAGAGTATGCAAAATGCATATCAAGTGAACTGGTTTAGATTTTAATCTGTCGGCGCACTATTCATATACCAATGAATATTAGCATATCAAAATCACTTAATTGCATTTTTTCAATATAAAATTTTCCTAGGAATTGTACAAACAGGCGGTATTAATATTCGTTCGGTGACTTACGATGTCGGATCGTGTCTGAAAAGAACCTTCAATCGAGACATTCGTCTCTTCGTGGAAGTTTTTGTTGGCGTTTTAAATTATTGGTATAATAATTCCGCAAGGAAAGTGAGTCTGTCTATAGATGATCTAAAACCGGTTTTCTGTGTAAACAAAGCAGGGAAGCTGAGTAATTTCTTTGAATGAACGAGAATGATTTACGATATAAATATGTGAATTATTTTAGCTTATTCGATGTGATTACTGAATATTAATGTTGCATTTTGAGTACTTTATACAAAATCTAATTTTGAGTTTTAAAATATTCTCATTTTTAGTTTATAGGTTATTTTGACTAGATAATGTCAATGTACGGTTTCTTATTTTTCTCATTTTTGTTCACAGGTAAGCGAGGTGAATGATCATCACCAGACTAGAATGGTAGTGAGTATGTTTTCTATACTAATATTATATAGAGGAAAGATTTGTATTGTTGTATGTATTGCAATAATGGAAAAACTACTGGGTCGATTTCAAAAATTCCTTCACCATTAAAGAGCTACGTTATTGAGTAACATAGGATATATTTTTTTAACGTGGACGAAGTCGCGAACCACAGCTAGTTATTTATATCATGTGACCGCACTCAGTAGTTTTAGTAATCGTAGTTTCTCTTTGTTATTACAAATTACAGTATTCTAACATTCGTATCAAAACAGACGTATTCAGAAGACCTTTTCAAAGGCTAAAGTACGTTCAACTGTTGATGTAATTTGGATGTAAAGTGAAAATACGTTTGTTAATTCATGAACATTAGTCACTTCAAAGGAAACGACTCAATTGATTTATTTATCCTATAAAAATGTATCGTCTTGTAATTAACAAGCTTTTCCGTCAATCTATAAATTAATGGACACATTATGTTATTACTTTTTATAGACATTTAAAAGTAATTAATTTTTTTTTATAATTATTATAAATCTTACTGATATCGTAATTACGAAAGTTTAGATGGACATTTGTTAGAGTTTGTAGCCTAAAGTGCTGAATAAAACTAGATAAAATTTGACACAGATTTAGAGGATAGTCTGTACGAACTAGTAAGCTACTTACTTTTGTTTTTTTAACTCCACGCGGACGAATTCGCTGTCAAAAGCTAGTAGAGCAAACATCGTATATTGATCCATAAGTTTAAAGACGGGCAATACACATTTTACAGTATGAAATATACTGTTTTAACAAATAAAAAACAGTGGCGACAATGTCGTGAAGAGTTACAAATGTGTTCAGTGAAAGTTCAGCGCAGTGAAGCGTGTTTAATGGGCCGGTCTATAGGATCGTTCACGTAACACTGACCGCTTGGAAATGAACCATCGCGTTTCGACATTAAAAATATAATTACCCTACATTTTATGGGAATGAATAAGTGGGTTACTAGTTAAGATGAATGTAAATCATTAAAAGACACTTTTAAGTACTGTTCGAACTTTATGGTTGTTGGCTTTCTCATATGAAGTAACGAACATAATTTTAGGTATGGATGTAGGAGTGGGTTACATCTTTGGGTAATCTTTCCACCTTTAATGGCGTATCTGCACTTGCATAATTACAAGACACTAGATTTTTTTAATCGTACTTATTTAATATTACAAATGCGAAAGTTTAGATGGATAGATGTTTGTTAGAGTTTGTAGCCTAAACGGCTGAATCGATTTCGATCAAATTTGGTACAAATGTAGAGGATAATCTGGAAGAACACATAGTTTACTCAATTTTTTTTTATTCTACGCGGACGGAGTCACGGGCGAAAGCTAGTATTTTAATATTTCAGAAGAATATAATTAAGGCCTTTATATCTAAATCAGTCTAACTTTTTTTTAATCTATCTCATTTTTTATATCTGATTTAACCTTATTTTTTATATGAATAACGAAATATGACGGTTCATAGCGCTGTAAAAGAGAAAAATGTCGCAACATAAAATGTATCGTATTTACAACCTTCAGAATAAAGTAACCGCATATCAGATAACCAATTTAGTGCGTAACCGAACGTATCGCACCCATCAGCAATTACAATGATGGACGTTTTGTTGAGCGCAATCGTACGTGACTCGTTTGTTTTTTATTATCTAAAATACCATAATTGGTTTGAATATAAATATTTTTGGTAAGAATGGTATGAGAGATAAAGTTATGTAATCTTACTTCTTATTAAAATTATAAATGCGAATGTTTAGATGGATGAATGTTTGTAAGAGTTTGTAACTTAAACTGCTGAACGGATTTCGATGAAATTTGGCATAGATATGGAGCATAGCCTGATTACAGTTTTGTTTTTTGAATCCCACGCAGATGGAGTCCTGGGCGTAAGCACAAAATAAAGACGGTAAATGGTTTCCAGTTACAGTGTTTCGTCAGAATTTTTCTATAGTTTGTAGAAATAAGTAGTAGTTATAGCAATTCTAGAAATA